TGTGGATGCAGAAATAGTCTGGTGTGGTTTGAGACTGGGATGAGTCGCATTATTCTCCCCACTGACAGGGGGCTGCTGAGAAATGTCAAGGTTTCCCTTTGCTCTGGAGGAAGCTAACCCAGTCTCAGCCTTTCTTTCAGCGGCTGGCCCTCCGTGTGCAAACTCTGGGGTCCAGCAGCGCGTTCCTTCTCAGCCTGCACAGCACAGGCACGTGGCTGGCGCTAAGGAGACACACTTTAAATAACCACGCCACAGTGACTCATGCCTTACCCAAGGCAGTCTGGCTGCTGGCATATAAAGCATGAAAGCCGGTGATCTTTGGAAAAAGAGAGGATCCTACAGCGAGCAGACATATGGCTCAGTTCCTGGCCAGAAGGTGGGAGGGGTGGAAGCGTTTCTAAACGAGATAGGCTGGGAGGCTGAGGCTCACAGGTGCAGAGCAGAGGCCTCCCCAGTGCTGCCCAGCTCTCTCCTCCTGACCTGCTGCCACATACACAGCCCCTTGTGTCTGGAATTTCAGTGAGTTAGCAGTTTTCCAGGCTGAGGAGCCTTGGGGGGATAGGAAAAAAGCATGCGGGAGCAGCGCCTGCACCCAGAGTGGCTGACATGGGGACGTGGAATGCTCTTTTGCCCTTTGCAATATTTGTCCTGTAGCACCCAGGTGGCAGAAAAGGATAGGCACTTCTGGTGGTTCTGGTGGACCTTCACCTTTCCCTCTATCGCTTCAATCATCCTCCATTTCCCCAGCCCCCACAGTTCCAGAACTGCCCTTCCCACCCTGCCTTTCTCTCAAAACTCTCCCCATCCACTCGGCCCCCTTCTCAGCTCCCCTCAGCGCTGTCCCCTCCATGATTGCCTGTCCTTTTCCTCCTCCCCCAGACCTATCCTCCCACACCTCCTGCACTTCTTTTCCAGCTCTCCTCCCTGGAGGGCCGCTCTGCAATCCCTGTTCTCTGCTTCTCTGTGCTATCTCTGCACCACTCCCTCCTTGTCTGCTGCCTGGGGCCACATCTTCCCCTCTGACAAACAGTAACCCCTCAGGACCTACTGTGGTATTTCCCACAGACCTCCCCACAGCCTCCAACCCCTTCCCACAGCTGTTTGCTCCAGAAGCACCACAATGGCTCAGCAGGCTGGACCAGCTTTCTGCCAGCAGCCCATACTGAGGCCAGCCTTCATCTTGGGTTGCATCCCGCTCTCCCTCGCCTTTTCTCCAGGCTGTGGCTGTGGTTGGGTTGCCCTTGACAGCCACATGAGCTGCCTTCCCCAACCCACAGGCTGTTTTCAGGGCCTGGACACCCTGGAGCTGCTCATCGGCTTTGGCAGGGTAGCGTAAATGTCACGTCCCTGCCTGTTCCCAGCCTGATGCCTGTTCCCGGCCCGAAGCAATGCCCGCGTGTCTCCCATTATGTAAGGCGTAATGTGGATGGGAGCTGGGAGGCCTCGGGGTGGCTTGTGTGCCATGAATGACAGCTGCAAAAATGAGAAGGGAACTATTTTTAAACCTTCCCCTGCCTGCCTTCTCCAGCTCTTTTCCCACAGCTCCAGCCAGGCTGAGTGGATGTCCAGCCCATGGGGGCAACTGGTCCTGCTGGGCTCTGCTGAACAGGTCCCGAGAAATTCTGCCACAGAGGGACATGCAGCACCTCAGCACAGGGCGGGTGGTACTCAGAGGACGTGTCCTCTTCCAGCCCTCCTTTGTCGCCCTGAAAACTCAGCTTCTGAGCTTGCTGACATAGTTTTCTAAGGACTTTCCCAGGACAGTAACTGTAAACATAGAGATGTGTACATTCTTTCTGATACACGTCTTGTGATGGACATCTCTCACGGCCAGTGCATTTGGGAAAGTGTTATCCTGACCATCCAATCCCTGGCTGTGGTCAGAAACCTATAAATCCTGGGAGAAGAAATAAACTCTCTCTTCCTTTCACCACACCTTGAGCTGCGTTCAGGTGATCTATTCATCTCCAGCGACAACACTCCTTGGCCATCAACAGTCCCCTGACATCCTCTCCTTCACCTCTCAGAGCCCTGCCTGTCGGCAGGACCAGCAGTGTTCCTTTCTTTCCCCCAGCCTCTCTGTAACTTTAGAAAGGTCATTCCCTCCTCCTTGAGCCACAGGGTTATCACAATTCCTTGGAAAAGAGCAGAAGGGATCTAGAGGGAGAAAAACCTACCTTCTACTGTGTAAACATGATACCTCAGCACCGCCCTGTCCCTCAGAGTGAGGGCAAGAGACAGATGGTCTGAGGTAGGGGCCTGCATGATTGTCCCATCTCCCACTGAGTGCTGTTGGCACAGGGACCAGTAGGGGAGAGGCAAGGTGGGTGGGGAGCTGTCTGAGAAGGGCTCTGGCAGTCACAAGGAGAATTGTCAAAACCAGCAGTGTTTTGCACCAGAATGCTGCAAACAAGGCACCCCTCAAGCTGGAGCATTGGAAGAAGGCATGCAGGGGGTGGACACTGCCCATGTGCTGTCAATTTGGCTCTGAATTGAACACTTGGTTCAAGGATTTGCCCATCAAAGAACTGTGTGGAGGGATCGGAAAATGTGAGGTACCTCTTCACCTGGCATTGCAGATGCTGCTCTAGGCAGCCCTCCTCAGGCAAGATGGAGCTGACCTGTAGCAGGTACAGAGCAGGCTTGTGAGTGGCCATTTTGTGGAGTGTGGAGCTTGTTTAATCTAAAATAGGAGCGTTTGAGAAGGGACAGCATCCATGCATCAAAAAGATATGCTAGAGCAAAATTCTAATTTGTTCTCTTAGAAGCTCATCTGGATCATAAATACATTTAGACTTAAAATTAGAAAGAAGTTCCTAGCCAGCCATGGTATAAACTTCTGTGACAGCCTGTCAGGCTGGAAGGTGGGCAGAAGAAGCCTAATTTGGTAAGAGACTCAGCAGGCTGGTAGTCACTGCATGGCAGGAGAGGAGGGAGCCCAGAATGAGCCATACACAGGTCTGAAATGAAGCTTGCAATCATGTCCCCAAACTGGTCCCCAGAGGGATTGGTACAGAGCTGAAACCACAGTGTGTTGCATCCTCTGTAGGTTGGTTACATATCATTAATGTCGTGCTTCAGGGTCCTCCCAGATCTTTAAAGAGGCAAGAAAGAGGTCACCTCTTTTCCTTCTGGAAGGAAATTAATTTCCTTCATTTCTGTAACCTCTCTGGCCACAGTAGTCACAGGGCTGGGGTGAGGCAGGGAGGAGAATAGGGTCACTCCTGCTGCTCTCAGTCACGCTTTGGGTGTGCTGGTTTGCCTCACTCACAGGCTCAGGACAAAGCTAGCTCTAGGGCTAGGGAGGCATTTCCCTCGGGCTTGGTGTGCTGTGGCAACCTGGGGAGCTCGAGGTGTTGTTCACTATGGCAAGCAATGCCTTTCTGGACTCCTTGGCTGCATTTTCCCTGTTGCAGGAGCTTGGGGGAACACTAGAGACACTTTTGCTCTCTGCCACTCACTCCTGCTGCTGTTCACATCCTTAGGTTTCTGTGGACCTTGACCACGGGAAGGGACAGGATGCCTTTAGGCAGTCAGGACATTCCCTGGCTGCTCCCCAAGTGCCTTGACTCGGGCAGACCTCAAAGAGTCTGAAGTCTCAGCTCCATGTTTCAGCGTGGCACGGAGCCCGCACTGTCACAAGACCCTCAGCCTTTGCGACCTTCTATCCTGCCTGCCGCGTGTCCCCCTTGGTGCTGGGGCTACAGGACACACCTGTCCTGATGCGGGAGCCTCGGTGCGTCCCGCGGACGGCTGTGGGAGCCCGGCAGGCGCTGAGGCCGCTCCTCACCGCGCCGAGCTCCGGCCGGGCCCTGAGGCGGGCGGGGCCGGGCGGGGCGGTGCGCGCGGCGG